CTGCAGAAAGAGAAAGGCAAACAATCACAAAAAAATAAATATCAAATATCGACAATGACAAATAAGTATTGAGCATTTAAGAGAAAAAGAAATGTTAAGTATTGTATTTGATGACAAAAACCTCAGCAATAATAAACAAAAAAAAAATTGCCATCCAAACATTAAATTTAAGTGTATGTTAAAATGGCTGTATTTTATTAATATTCCCTGAAACTGAAGAGATGTGTACTTTACATGTCATCAAGTACAGTGGATTTTTTTTTTTTTTTTTTTTTTTTTTAACAAATGGTATTCTTTTGGCAAAAATCAGAAGTGTTCATATATCACACACACACACAAAACACACAAACACACACACACAAAAACACACACACACACACACACACACAAACACACACAAACACAAACACACACACACAAACACAAACACACACACAAACACAAACACACACACACACACACAAAGAGGATGTATCAAAAATACTTTTAGAAAATTTGGGGGCAGTTTCCTTATGCCAAAACAAGGACATAATCCATATAAACATATGTCCGCAAATTGTTTTTGAGTTATTAAGTTTAAAGTTATGGTAGACGCTGTTAAATGTACAATCCAAAAATACTTTGGGAGCGTGTTCCTGATTCTACTGTAAACTTTTTTTTTTAACTTAATAACTCAAAAACAAAGGATTTGTAGACATATGTTCATATGAATTTTTGTCATTGTTTTGATGTGTAGACCCCCAAAGTTTGTAAAAGTATTTTTGATACACTCTGTATATATGGAAGGAAGTCAACTTGTGACTGATTAAGACCATCTCTTGCACTCTAAGTTGATTTTTTTTCTTTTTACACACATTTTAAATGTCATCACTTTGTCACTGATGATATCTAAAATGGCTTTTGAGACCAGCAAAAATCCTACAGTCCTTCCAACATTCTGCTGCAGTTTGCCTTTCTGGATGCTAGCTGTGGAAATGTCGTCTGAGTGCACTGGCTGATTGACACATTTTATGACAGATTGTACATGTATGATCAGTGGGGATGTCATATTGGTAGTTGACATCATGATGACTCCACATGTGGCTGAGAAGACCTGCTTTTGAAAAGTAAATGCAGTTACATTGATCACACATAAGAGACTCCTTCAATCTGCATTCAAGGGAGAGCAATTATGTCTCTCATATATCTGCCTGCACATTTTTGTTGTATATATTCTATCTTGCTGTTCTCAAAATTCTTGACATCAGTAGTAATCAGATTTTTCTGTTTTCCAATACAATTTCTTCGCAGGTTTCTAAATCTATATGTGTCTTTTTGAGTCTTCAGATTGTCTTTATAGCACTTGCAGGGCTTACGCTGTGGTTGTTTTCCCTGTACTCTTATCATACAAAACCTGTTTAGGCATGCATGAGCTTTCTAGACAAACAAGGTGACCAGAGCATCTACGTTGTTGTTTCATAAACATGGACTCATTACTTGCTGATTTTGCCAACTGCAGCAGTCTTGCATCAAGTACGTAATCGCCATTATACACACACACACACACACACACATATATATATATATATATATACACACACACACACACACACACACACACGTGCAAGCAAGCAAGCAAGCATTTATTATTAGTAAAGACCATAAACTCGAATTTACAAAACACCCTCAATATTGACTACTCAATCCAACTAAACTATTGGAAAAATTAGCAAATGCATTCTCAAAAGAGCATGCAAATATACAAGAAATGCTTTATGAATTAACCAATGGCATAGTATGAAAAAGCTATAAACTAGTTTTTAAAAAAATGAAAAGTATGTGTGTATATTTATTGAATTCAATATGAATAATTTTTACCTGTCCATTATCGAAGATTTGTTGATGAATCCCATCAATTTAACCAAAAACATTAATAATAAAGTAAACAAAATAGTAAGGCAGGTGGAGAAACCCATGCTATATCATAATGGATGTATGTGGAAGCATACGATTCATATGAAATGGGCTGGAAAAATAGATTTTATAACCACAAAGTAACAATAAGTACAAAAATAATACTGCTCTCTTTAAATATTACTGGCAAATAAAAGATGGTAGAAACATACCAAAAATTATGTGGGAAATAATGGCTAGAATTAAATTGTAAAGGTGAAAGAGGTAATTTTTGGCTTCTAGAAAAATTGACCATTCTAAAAAATATAAATAATCCTCATCTCAGAAATACAGACAGATCCTAATTTACTAAACAAAAGAAATGAATTAATGGTCACATGTAAACATAAAAACAAAAACCTCTTGAAAAATGATGAACCAGATTGATTTCAATTCAAGACATTTTCTTTCTAAATTTATTTTTTTTCTTTACATTTAGATGTATGATTGCATATTTACTAGTATGTATAAGTATATTCCTATTTGCTTGAATGGATCTTTATGTCCTTTTACTAATATGTATTTTGCATGTATGTGTATTTTGTCATTTCTTTTATATGGGATGGATGAGTATATGTATGCATTTACAATTATATGAATCATAGAATGTGTGCAAACATATATAGGTGATGTTATTTTACATCTGTATAATTTACAGTCAAGATATATACATTGGATCAAGTGGATGTTATATATTCACATGTATGTGTGGATATGTCATGATAATTATGAATACATATGTATTATATCTGAAGCTATATATGTGTATATTTGTATGTAAATTATAGTTATGTATTTGTAGATGTGTGTGTATGTGCATATATATATATATATATATATTATAAATTAATTGATTTAAAATATGTTTTTTTCCGCTACACAGTTCTAACCATGTTTCAAAAATAGAAGCTAAAAGCCCCGAATTTAATTTTGCAATTAAATTAAAAGCATTAGTTCCATTTCATCCTCAAGCGAATTTTGGAGTCCAGTAATTTTTAAAAGTTACTCCAAAATTTTGAGGATGAAATGAACTAATGCTTTTAATTTAATTGCAAAATTAAATTTGGGGGCTTTTAGCTTCTATTTTTGAAACATGGTTAGAACTGTAGTAGTGAAAAACCATATTTTAAATCAATTAATTTATAATATTGTGCTCTGTAAATTTACATTGAGCACTATTTTGTAAAAATAAAATATCTATAAGAACACGGATTATATATCTTACTGTTCTTTCTTTTATTTATATATATATATATATATATATATATATATATATATATATATATATATATATATATAGTATTATTTTTAATGGCCAACTGGTTAGAATGTTCACTTTCTGATCATAAGACCAAGTTTTGAATGGTCCATGGTTGATTTGTCAGGAAGCTGACTTCAGTCTGGAGGAGGTAATCCCAGGGTGCGGCACCTTTGGAAAGTGTCTGAAAACTATATCATGGGTTGACCCAAGCCTTGTGAGTGAAATTAGGTATATGGAACTGATGGTGTCTGTCGATGGCTGTGTTAGTACAAAGTCACAAGTCATCGTGACCGATGGTTTCAGCATGCTGGTCTTGTTCAGATTGTTGATCACGCTAGATAACACACTTCTTTCCTAGCAACTGTAACTAAAGTTCACTCAGCATAATATGAATGGCCAGCCATTAACATATTAATTAAATTATAATTATATTATCCACCACTCCAGTAAATAAATGAACTGCTCTACTATCATTACAGTATGGTATAAATATCAATATTTAAATTATGTAACCTGATATATATCTCCAGTTTGTAATTCCCATCTTGAGCAGTTCCTCTTGCTGGCAATCTGACTTATGTGGTCACAACATTTTAAAATATTGAGAGTTGCAACCCTTCAATTTATTGACAAGCCAAATTTGAATTCAACAAGTGTGCTCCATATTAGACAGAATGATTAGTCTTACTCTTCTTTGACCTGATTATAATTTTAGTTAAAAACCTTAATTTAAACCTTTCAATTAAGGCATCACAGGTTAAATCTAAGGAGGAAAAGAAAAACTTGGAGGAATGTAGAGAAAAAGAGGAACCTCTTTTTTCTGGAGGCTTGTACAATGACTGCAGCAGTAATATATCAGGATGTAAAAAAAGCTGTATATAATGCAAATTGGAGAAAGAAATAGAACCTATGAAACTGACTATATAATGTAGACAGGGAAAGAAATCAATGCCTGTGGGAGTGAAAATAGTTTGAAATGGAACTGAAGAAAGCCTAGACTAACAACAATAATGGCAAAACAATTTACAAAACCTTGATAAAAGAAAAAAAGAATACAAAATTCATCTGCAGGAATGAAAGTTGGCCATCTTGTCGCAGAGCTGACAGGCTTCTTTTGAACACATCTACAGCATAGGAAATTAGCTCCTCAGTTTTTATTAGCAGCTAAGTGCCGGAAAACCCAAAGAAGAATTACGGCTAAGATTGGCGCCAGCATTGAAATCACATTTGACAATAGAAAGTCAACAGATAAACAAGGCAAAGCCCAATGTCATAAAATACAACCTGCAAAGTAATACAGTCTTTCACAAATGGATGGGTGTGTTGAGCAAACACTCAATTTCCTCAGATACAATAAGAAATCCTCTTTAAAACTAATTACAAAGAGAGGATGTCCTTCTGAACATAATGGCACTGTCATGCTGGAAGAAAATCTCATGTTGCACAAGTTGGAAAACAGATTTCAGGGTTTCTCCCAATAAAAAAAAAAATAGGACAGAATTATTAAAAGAAAGCAAGCAAAAATACAGGGGGTCCTCAACTTACAACACATCATAGGAACAGAATTCTGTTATAACATGATTTTCCATGCAAGTCAGAACGTACCTGTAATTCCACTTCCATGGTGAAGACTTTCTTTATATTCAAAGCACCACTATAAGAATTATAATGAAGGAAAATATGTCTCTACAAACACAACACAAACCAAAGAGAGTGAATGCACAACAATCCAACATGGTGTACAACCAGAAAACAAGATTAATGGAGATTTTGTTGTAACCATAATCATTGTAGGTTGGGACTGTCG